CGAGTTATTTCCTTTAATCTGTTGAAGGTCCGTTGGCAGAGATCGTGTGGGACATTGACTTTTATAGCAGCAAATTCACATTTGATCACCCCAAACGGTCTTCAAATCATTCAGCCAGTCTGCTCTATGCTTTTTTTTCTTTCGCACGAACTTGGCTATTTCGGTGGTCGCACCAGTAACTGTGCAACTTTTGAGCGCGAGATTTCAGTTTTTTTCGCAACCAAGATGAGTATAGGAAATACGTAAAATGAAAACGGCAAGAAAAAATTATACACTGTTAGTTTGTAGGGTTTTCTTGAGACCACGTACAGTTTTTAATATACCTGTTTGATACTTTTAACCACGCATGTGGTCTGATATGGCACTTACACAGTGCAATACACGAGTGTTTCGGCCTTGACAGCCTCGTAACCTGTCACCGAACAGCTTGTTAGATCAACATAAAAGTTGCGTGCTGAAAATTTCCAGATTTTGCTTGTTTGGACAGCATTGAAAATATCAACTTCTTTACCTTCTTTGATTTCAATGTTTGTTGCTTAGGGTTAACTGCGCGTTTCTCACCACGCACTACGACGGCAAAATTTCACACATGGTTGAAGATTGACTGAATTGTAAATCCGATATTGTTGAGAAAACTCTCAGTTGAAGCATTATTGGGTAAGAGAAGGATATGAAACCTCTAATGGGCTTAGCGAAAATTATGATGTAATGTTAACAAAATTTCGAGCTTTTGCCTATAGGCAGATGATATAGTACATTGCGCAAAAATGTGCATACTAAACGAGTAATATCGCGACGATGTGGTAAGCATCATGTGATTTTTTCATACGCTTTTCTGAACAAGTGGTCATATCGATTTGATTATATTTTTCTGTTTGTCTGATGTGTTCTGCAACGTTTTCCAGTTGTGTGTCATTATTCATCAGTAGGAAGCCGGCATGTTTTTCAGATGACAATCTACTCGTCCACTAAGTCACTTCAGCCAGAGAAAATTGTGGCATCTGTAATAGTAGCCGTAGTGAGTATCAGATTGTTCTTTTTGTAATTCAAAAGCAACATTCCTAATGCTAATCCTTACTGTGATCATACGATTAGATTTGACATCTTTCTTAATATTTCTTACACGCCAACAAATGTTGTATAGAAAGAATAAAGTCTACCGATAGATCATTGCTTGAGGTAAACATATACTCGTAGTTCAATATGAGAAGAGTTACGTGGCCAATTCACTGCCTCAGATTACCATCAAATCCAATATTCTTTAATTTGTCTTTTCTAAAGAAAGGAGAAAATGTGCAACTTCCAGATAGGACTTATTGGCTTGGGCTCGAACGGTGTTGCTATACTAGCAGTGCGACACAATAAGGCATTGCAGAATTCGTTCAGCCTACTGTGTTTCCCGCACAGCGCGGCCAACATAGCTGTTCTACTTGTGTTCGTCTTCTGGGCAGCGCCGATGACAATTCTGTGAGAACTGGAAGAGTTTAAATCCTGCAAATCCAACAGAAATAGTTATGTTAACGCCATCAACCGCACATTGCGGATGGCTTTTCGTAAGACTGTAAGACTTGAGATTTTTGACTAATTTCTTCTTGAATCAATTATTTCTTCTTGGACAAGTGAAGGAACAAGCCTTCTTGATGGACGATAACTTTTATAAGATTGTTGATATATATTCTAAAGCATAAATCTCTGATTAATGCTTTACGTAGCGATTTTTCAGAGAACTCTTATATAATAATGTGAAAAATTTTAAGCATTTGTGACGCACGCACGCATATTTATCACAGAACAGAACCGTTCTTTAGAACTATGAATGACCATTCGATAGCGTAGGTTTTCACGATTAAAACACTGCACCTATCTTCTGGAAAGACCGTTATATTTCAGTGTAGTAGGGAAAATAAGATTGGACTTGACACAAACAGGCTTTGTTTTTCGGCTAGTGTGTGGGCTGGATGTCTGATGGCCGTTGATTCGATACGGACTTCCGCGAACGATTGAGCGATCGATCCCGTTGAAGCGACTTACATGTGAAACGCGGTTTTTGCTAATCAATCTGCGAATTTTCTCCGCTTTGAGAGAAACTCTACATGAAACATATGATTTCGATACTAAAAGTTTTCCTCCATGCATGTATATGCTTTTTGTGCTTTCAGCAAAGTAATAGAAGAAGCTGGAGTAAAACATAATTTTGTTTTCTTGATGCTACACTTCGTAAAAGCGTATTTTCGAAAAGCATGTGGCATAGTAACCAGAAGTTCAGATTATCGCATGATTACTAGCACTCTTATGAGAAGTTCTTGTCCAGAAAGGTATTGTTCTTTCAATTGTCTCCGAATAACATAAGTGAGCCTTCTCCTTTTTTTGAAAATTGAGATGAAAATGTTGAACATTTTATGATGTTTAAACTAAAGGCCTGTTAACGTAGATAAACGTAACAGTTTATCACTTAAAAATATCCTCATCACGTTAACATATCAAACTGTGTAGGTAAGAAACTTTCGGTATCAAAACAAAGCTTCAGGTTGATATATAAATTCCGTTTAGTATTATTCTAATCATAATATTTTGCTGCAAACAAAACAACTTAGGTATTTGATTTAAATAAAAAATTGAGCTGATTGGTCGAAATGACGAACTGTCGTTTTTGGAACAAGCTTGAATCTTCAAGTATAAGCTCAGTAATAATTCCAATTTCTAGAGCTGAAGAGTCTAGTTCGAAAGCAGAAATCAGAGCTTGTGAGGGTTTCAAAAAGCTCACTTAAGGAGAAGATTCGCTGCTTTCTATAAGATTGTGATGAGACTCTTTAGAGAAACTCTTACCTGGTTGAAACTGCTTTTTCACACAACCATTCTTGTTGATTTCTTATCTTTCTCAGCATTGAGAAAACTTCGAAGAACGTAACAATATTTAGAATTAGACCGAACAAGAACGCAATCAGGGTCTAGATATAGGCATAATTTCATGGAGTTTTCAATATCCAAATAAATATATACCTTTTAACTGCAGGGAAAGCGAGATAGCCACAATGTTCACAGGCAAAGTATTCGGTTTGGCAATTACTTTGCCTTGGTATGTGTGCGTCTACTCCCATCTTGCCATTGCCTTGAACAGAGTAATCGTCATCGCGCTACCAGTACGGTCTTCCTTTCTACTAACAGCGATAAAAACTTCTGTTGTAATTCTGATCTGCTGGATGCTCGCTTTCTTCCAAATTATACCGTATTTCTGGAGTGAGTTTCGCCATTATAAGTTGTTTTGAAGAATCGATTTTATCACACCCAGGACTATAATTAGACCAATATTAAATGTTATTCTGATAACTGATCTGAAACGAAGTGGCTTGACGATTTTCTATTCAGCTATTGTTGCGACGTGATTGGTCTTCTTTAATACCAAACTGATGCAAGTCACGGTACACGGGCAGTTGGTTTGCAAAATAGCTTTTTAATGTCGCATCAAGTCAAGTCCATATGACGGTCCCGCTCAAACAATGAACCCCTTTCATACAAGGCACATGCTGACGTTTCAGCAGTTCACTGGAATCAGCTTTTTGGATACTGTTCATTACGCAACAATCGATCGTAAAGTAGTTGGCACATGCGATTTTCTATGCTCTTATTCTTATTCATGCTGTGTTAAATTAGAGTAAAGCCCCACTTCAGTGGTGTTTACTCGATAGATAATGAATACCAACGCACACCTGCAGTGTGAGAACAACCACCACCTGTGGCCCATTGACTTGAATCAGCGTGGTTTCTTAGAAGGCAAAACGCTAAAACATTGACCAGGTGAAATCTTATGCCAAGCGCATTGCTTCAATGAAATAGAAGACTTTTATCGTTAATCACATTCGTAGTGCTCTCATGTACAAAAAAAAATCACATATTAAAGCGGCATTTCAATGGATTGTTTTAGCTGCCACTCGGACGTGTTACCTAGAACTTGTGTAATTGAACCTTTACTCCTTCACCTTTATGACGACATTTCTGAAAGCAACGGCTATAAGAAATGGTATCGGCTAGTAAGGATATGTAATACAATTAGCAGCTGTGATATGGAGAAGTGAGAAGTGAACTATGGTGACTAGTGAACTACGGTGCAGTGTGCGTTACGGTAAAGAGCAAGCTACGATAGAGAACGAGGACGATGACCAATAACGTGTATATGACAACATTATCAAACAACGCACAGTGATAACAACAACGGAAAATAGGGTAATACGTAGTGTAACGGACGACAGGAACGATAACGATATGGAAGCTACAATAATGATAAAATTGCGGTATAGCTGCCCACTGCAGCTATTAAGCCCTCTTTTGTGCTGCTGCGCCGTAGCTGGTTCTAACTTAGTTTCATTTATAACGTGATGCCCTCTGTGGAGCCGTGTGCGGACCCCATGCTAAGCATTGATTATCCAGAAGAAGGCTGACTTTTTCGACACAGATAGTAAAACTGAAATGAGCACTTGGATTCTTTCAAACGATTCTATGCAAGAAAAGGAATTATAGCGTTAAATGTTTGTAGTAACTTCTTTCCTTAGAACATATTATTGAGTAGCTACTACTGAGCGACTTAGAATTCACGAGTGCAAGTAAATTTCGTCTAGATTTACATTCGTCAAATTGCGATATTAGTGTATTCGTTCTGTCAAAGGCATTCTGTACTACCTCAATGACCGTAACAGGACTGGAGAACTTATTGGCCTTGAGCGTGAGCAGCAGCCATATGGGCGTAGTAGAGCACTTTTCGCCGCTGCACTGAGCAGGTCATCGTTTTGCAAGAGAATTGAGTGGTGAGCAAAAATTCTGCTTCAGGCGCGATTTAGACCCATGTTTCATCCATACCGGGGCGCGTGCTCTGCCACTGCACCACCGAGGCTTATTTGCACTACCACTCATTCTTCAACATCTCTAGGTTAGCTATCAGCCACCAACCTTCAACAGGTTTGGTCGGGTATGCGATTTTGTTTCATAAAACCAGCTGGTGCAAATGTGCCTTGGTGGTGTAGTGAAAGTAGCACGCGTCCGCGGTATGAATGAAGCGCGGGTTCAATTCCCGCGTGAGGCAGTGCTTTAGTTCACCACTCAGTTCTCTCAGTTGTAAACGAAATATCATAACACTGCAAAAAATGCAGTTATAATACTAAAAATTACAGATATAATATATATCACTCACCTTCAGTAGTTGATTACTCTTTGAAGAAGGTAGATTGATTACAGAGAGCGAATTCTGAAAGCAAACTAAGATATGTAACATTTGATTTGTTAGGCTCATAAAATGAGAGTCATGCGAGTTCAAACATGTTCCATGTGATGTCCATGCTAAATGGAGCGCTCCTCTGTTCATTACATGATGTTTTGTCTTCAGCTGAGAGTTGTTTCGTCTTTTTCGATGCGGTGAATTGGATGTGGGCGTTTTCGAAAACACCATGCGGTCACATCTTGTCCGTTGTCGACTTTTATGGTGTTCTGATCGTTTCCATATTGATCCTTCTTTTCGACTGCATCACGATAATCTGTTTGAGAGCCAAGCACGCGGTTAGTGGCTAATCAGATGATTTAAATAACCATCATTTAACTCTGTATGGTAAGTCGTGCTTTTTCATAATACATCACGGCAATTATTTACCTATGTAAATCAGCTCTGGAATATTCAGTAAGAATCTTCATGATAAAAATTTCTATTTTGTTGCTTAAGAGCGTTAAGTCACATAATCCCGGTACTACACACACAAACGTTGCTCGCCAAAGAAGACAGAAAATGGAAAGCCGCTTCTTCAAACAGGTAATCGCTCAAGTAGGCATGAATTAGCTTGGAAAATTCATGAATTCCTGCCAGAATCTTCTGAAAAAGTCTTCATCTTGCATCACATCTATTTCAGGCATTATGTGAAAACGCTTTATTTATTTTCCAACATGTTAGCTTCTATCGTATTGGTTCACTTACTGAAAATCATTGGGCTAAATTCGTCGCTGGTACTTTGCTGTGGGAGCTGTGTCATGCCCTAGATGGGTGAGTTTTTTCATTCTGTAATGTGAACCAATTTGTTTGGTCTTCCAGAAAGAGAAAAGCAATCTATAATACATGAACGTGTAAAATAACTGGAATCACAGTGTGAGACTACCAGCTACTACATTTTCAGTGCTGTCGCTTAATTTTTAACTCGGTGTGCTAGATAACTAGATAACTGTTTCCCTCCTCAGTAATCCAATCATTTTGAATGAACATTTCATGCCCAATAGATTCGTCTTAATTAGTTTTCTTATGTTCGATGAGTTATCAAGCGTCTTAATAGCTTGTTGTCGCTTATAGGGTAAAGTGCATGTTATAATGCTACGAAACGCGCGTGAGCCACATAAGTCACAAACGAAATGCATCGTGAAAAGTATCCAAAAGACGATTAAAGACATTTTCAAAGGCTCTAAAAAATCATACACGTCTCTACGGACCAATATTTGAAACATACTCCTTACACTCTTTCATCAAGCATCGTTGTAGGTGATTCAATGCATATGTAGCCTATACAATGAACTTGTGCCAGCCTGATGAAGCAAATCATGATGTTATCCATTTGGACAAACCTAGTACCAATTCGTCGATCCCAAAAGAATGCAGGGATTGTTTAGCTTGTGGTGCAAACCAAACTATGAAATATGCATATAAACAGCGCATCTCCAAGCACTAAACGACGCATGTCTCTTTAATAAAAATGTAACCGGCGAAGTTAAAATGGTGAGTATGGCGAATTGATTAGTGATGCTGGTCATCACAAAGCAAGTTTCTGGTTTGACACCCCTCACCAACGCTCACCTGTACGTGAGAATATCCTAGCTCGACTATCTCCGAGATTTCAAGAAGATTTTACGCAAACTTAATTGGAGACAGTCGTAAAAATGACAAAATCCTCAAGCCGCATTTGAAAATTTTCGCGGCTAGCTAAAGACGAACTTTTAGTCTCATCAGTAGCACGGTGTTTTTCGTTTGAGGCAATCTCAGATAGACCTCATAAAAGCCTTCAAATATGATTTTCGAATTGATAAAAAGTATTCAAGTTGTCTAATTGTGCGGATATTGCTCATGAATTACTGAGGACGAACGTGAATAGCTAGCGTTGCAGTGCTTTTATCGTAGTCAGATTGAAACACTCTAAGAAATTCTTTTCTGCTCTCGAGAAAGCTCAGTCATGCTCAGTAATTTGTCTGGTAGAAAATGGCATTTGATATAACGACTTTAACCACTTGAACATTGTACTGAGCTATGCATTTTGCAGCATCATCGTTGCTGTTTTCCACTCTCGCATCTCTTAACTCGGCGTGAAGGCGTCGCCTGCGAAACGTATGATGGTAAGTAGCCCCATTATCTTTACTATATATTGGAATTAAAAAACGATGAGTCTTGAACATTAGTTTGCTGTTATTTGAATTGCGAAGATTCGTTCCTTTTCCAGATGGCTCAGTCCGTGAGAATTTCCCATAAGTAGACGAACAATCAAAGAAGAAAAAAAAAATGTAAAGCAATTTTGAGCACCACTACGGGTGTGAAGAGACAATTGAAGAACTCGTCACATCGTTGATACTTTATCGCAAATTTGTTGCCCGACGATCAATTTTGCATTTGTTGTAAACGAGAGTTAATGAGAATAAAAATACACTCTTTGCTGTTGATCAATATCCTCAGGAGTACACCACACCTTGGACTTCATCAAACATTTTTAGAGGTGTTAGATGTGAATACCAGGCGACAAATTTGTCCATGATTTGCCTCTTTCGGAAGAGTGAAGGACGACTTGAGTTCGGGGATTATGATCGGACTTCGAATATTAGTCATTATATATATATGTATATACATGTATATATATATATATATATATATATATATATGTCATGGACTCGTTATATTTTTGGTTCAGAGAATTTTCTGTACTTTGCGGCAAAGACTCACGGACTTCTTCCAAAAGAGGATTCCAGCTGACTAACCGCGAGGGCTTGAGGCCATATGGTGGATAATCAGTGCTACTATCTTCTCAGACATGTCTCGTGCCAATTCACCAGCCATGGAAGAATGGAAAGTTTGGTGAGCCTTGAGCTCGGGATCGAACCGTTGATTTTCGATTGATCGCCTGTGTGTGTGACAAAGCACCTCTAACCATTGCGCCACTCACGTTCTCTGAACATCTATTTAGTAATCAGTGATCACGAAAGATGCGGTAAACTAATTGCTCAAGATTGTCGTCCTGATCAACGCTTCACAAAATGGGGGATGAGCTGAAATGCGCTTAAGCGGCCCAGAACTGTTTTCAAAGACCCAGTTTCAAAGAAGCATGCCTACCGAAGTCTAGACGCGCGGTCTAATGATTTAATGTGTAATTGAAGAAGCTTTTACTTTAATGTTAAACAGTTTTTCTCCATCAATAATGAAATTGTGACATTCTTCAAACATAACATTCATCTCTCACTCTGCGGAGTCGTACTGCTTTCCCCAAGCTTATATCATTTCAACTTCTAATTACATTTGGAACTTTCATGAAGAATTAAGGATATCACAAATATTTTGAAAGTTTTCGAATGAGGTATGGCAGCCGCAATCACCGACGATACATCTCGGAACACCATCGTGATCATACCCTGCTTGTTTCATGGTTTTTTTTTATTTACAATACAAACGTTCACGGAAAGAAGTAAAAGAAATGAGCGTTTTATTAGCTTATGTGAACAAGAATATCACAAGGACAAGATAACATCACATTTATCTTGTAATTCAGGATTTATTTGTTGCAATGATTTTCAATTCACTTGATAAAGTTCAGTATAGGTTTAGATACCTTGTCTTCAACTTTGGTATTGTCATTTCTTTCGCTCAAAAAAATAAACATGGAATCAGTGTGCTCGTCTGGAGTTTGTTAACAATCCGCTTCATAGCTGCGTATTTCAATGTTCAATCTGTACTGTTAACGTTTTTGAGAACATAAATTCTCAAAGATTCTAAAGAGACAGTCATTGGCTTGAATGATCACTTTCAAAACTACCGATTGTGAAGGAAGAGAAAAACACCGCTTTTTCTTCTCTGAAACCACTCATGCAAGTGACTTGCTTCCTGGGAATTGTTGACTAGTTCTTTACCTCACGGGTAATCCGGTGTTGGTCTGATTCAGGAAATCACCTATTTTTCAAGCGACTAAGGTCTTCTTTTGCAGAGGAAGCAAATGTCTTAACTGACTTCAACTCCGTATCGAATGAATGAATGAATGAATGATGTATATATAAAGCTAAAATAAAAGCTCTCGGCGTTGATCAATCCCTGAGGGATGCGCCATGCATTCGACTTTAATTTTTAACTCGTTTGAGGTGATTGAATGCATATCTGGCCTTTACAATGACTCGCGGTGGCCTCCCGCTGAACCGAGTCAGTGCTGCTTATCCTCCCAGACAAGTCTGAGACCTGTCTGGTACCAATTTACCGACCCCGGAGGGATAGATGGCTTGGTGAGCCATGAGCGCGAGATCGAACCATTGACCTCGTGTGCGACGCAGAGCACCTCTAACCACTGCGCCACATGCGCTCAGTATATATATATATATATATATATATATATATGTATATATATATATATAAATGTATGCATAAACACATATATGTACATATATATACATATATATCCACATTTATATGCACATATATATACACATATATGTGCATATTTGTATATTTATGTGTATGTGTGTGAGTGTGAGTGTGTGTGTGTGTGTGTGTGTGTGTGGTGTGTATGTGTGTGTACGAAAAATACGATACGTTTAGGTTGAGGCTTACAACTAATATGTGATCTCAAGGCTAAAATTTAGGCTTACAACAAGTACAGAAGACGGAATAGATTTTTCGGTCATAAGGGAAGAAATAAATACTCGACCTTATTCGCTGTACAAGAGTTTCTCATAAGACTGTTAGCAATTATTCTAAAGCTTAAATCTCTGGGTAGCGCGTCACCTACCCGGTTTTTCAAAACATCCTCTTATGGTGCTGTTAAATCCAAGATAAAAATATGTTTTGAACGATGACATGTCTTTTCTTAT